CATGAACACTTCCTTAGCTTAGGGAAAGAAAACACATTACATATAATTTTCTATTGATTTGCAAGTTTTTGAATTAATCTTTGACTTTATGTTTAAATTAGTTCAATTTTGAATTAATAAGCCTACTATATTGTACAAATTAAAAAATCAATTATTTTCATTCTTAAACAAAGAGAAAACATTTATAATAAAAAGTAAATTTTAATCTTAGTTATAATATTTCTAAGAGTTATTCTTACCCTCATTTCATATTTATCTTGACTTCACATTGAATTTTTTTCTTTTAAATTAATTTTTACTTTTAATTTCATATTTAATTTGATTAAATTATAAATCTTAATACATTCCAGTTCCATAATTTGAGCGAATTCCATTTCCTGAGTAAGAACAACATTGTAGGATCATATAATGCTAATTGTCTAACAACTTCAAGAAGCAAAAAAGAGATGTCATATTTTGGACAGCAAGAAACCTCCAAATGAGTAGGAGAAAGAACTAGTTCCAAATTTTGAAGGTCTCTTAAGTGCGTCTTTTCATGGTCTTCACGAAAGGTATTGAAAAAGTTCCAAGCTGAGAATATCAAACGGAATTACAAATCATGTAAACAGAAGCATAAAAACACATGTTGCACCGATGGCCTCATTAGGAACTTTAAAATCTGACAAAAATAATTTAATAAAATAAATATATTATTAGATGTGCATGTGTGCCGTGTAGAAATATTTCATACCTTCCTGAAGATGTCCTTTGGCCACAAGATCCACGAAGTAATAGATAAATACTGGATAAAGCACACGCAGCAATTCATGCTACAAAGAAGTGGCAAACCATATGTAATAACTGCAGAAACATAGCAAATTCGTAAATGAACTTTAAACAAGACAGTAACCAATCAAGTGACCTTGTGGCTTGTACGAATCAAGTGACCTGTATGCCCATGATCTTAGTTTAGCATACCCATCATGGTATCTCGCAGAACCTCTCTCCAGTCTGTAAAATAAAGGGGTTTTATTCAAAGAATCACTCTCCAGAAATGAAGTGACACAAATTGAGAGAGTAATCTAATGTAAGATTCAGGCAAACTAATGGCTATGCTCTAAACAAACACGTAAACCTCCTCTTCAACAGCTTACATGCTTGTTAGATGTTTTCTGAAAAACAGTTCAATTTATTTGTTTTTTATCTATAGGAATTACAATGACGGCAACAAAGTTAGAAAGAACCTAGCTAGGACACTGTACATACTACTCTAATTTGAAATCGTATTTGTACAATAGTTTTCATGTGAAATGCTCAAAATGTCAAGAACAGATACAATTGCTGGTTTAAAAGCAGACTTTAAATAGGCCTAACAAACTATCTCTCAGTTTCATCTCTTAATTAACATCAGATTACAAATTCCACTAAAATACAGTATGAAATATAGCTCGTATCGCCATTTCAACATGTGTTAATCTAAATCTAAAATTCCCACTTACATGGTTTAAGTGCCACTGGCACTACACTCATTTTTTTTTTCATAAAAATTAAAACACAAATATTTATAATGTATATCTACAATCTAAAACTTATATATTCATAACATTTATAACAACAATAAAAAGGATATTCACATTTGGCCTCCACTTTTGATTTTAGGCTTCTTTCAAATAATTAATACAGCAAACAAATCCAATTCCAAAAAACTAGCTTCATCTTACGAGAGACACTAACGCTGTGCTATTTTCACACAATTTTCACAGAGGAAAGGATTCAAATTAAGTCACCCGGCGACTCAGAGGAAATTTTGCAAGAAATTAAAAAAAAATGAAAATTGAAACGAGAGAGAGAGAGAGAATACTGAGTGCGATTGAGAGTGTTGTCAGGTTGAAGAGAGGAATCAGTGTTGGTGAGTTGAAGCTGGTCCTTGTTTTGCGTAAACCCTTTCTGCTTGAGGTACCCACTCACACAACCTTCCATTTGATCTTCGTTCATGTCCGCACCAGAAGAAACTAAACTAACTCTTCTTTCTCGCACCTTGCTTCAATTGATGTCTCCTTCACTTTCTCCTTTTTGAAATTTGCGGGAGAACTTAATGAATCTATTGTCGAAAATATAGCTAGGTATTTAGTCGAATGTGGGGATTTAGCGAACAATGAATATTTAAAAATGAAGTATTTTTCGAGTTCGCTGACTAAACAACCTCATGTGAGAGGTCATAAATTTCATACTTGCATTCTTAAGAGCACTCTTTGTCTGCGCATATGGCTTCCGTGCATCTGATTGTTGGGTACTAATTTCTTGACCACATTTCTTTTCTTTTTCTAGGATTAGTGTAGTTTTCTTCTTTTAATCACGTAGTTATAGGTTGTTTAACTTCAATATTGCAATTGTATCTTGATCATTATGCGAAGTGGACTATGATTTGTATTGCTAACATACTTATTGTTCATTCCGTTCATTTGAGCATCTATATGCATGAACATTATTGTTTGATAATCATTAATGAAAATATAGAAACAATTAATTATTAATCTTTTTACTCCATTTTTTCTTATTCCTTAAAGTTCAAAACGTAAAATACCTAAATTGAAACAAAAACTAGTGCTAGTTCGAATAAAAAGAACTCATAAACGAATTTCACCACAAACAAATTGGCACGCTCGGTGGGACCGTTTAATTGAAGACATAATTGAACTAGTTTTAGGTATGTGTGTTTTATGAGACTTAGGAGTGGAAGAACCATGTCTACGTCTAATAATAGGAGAGAAGTGAACAATGACACTCAAGTAGATGTAGAGCACGTAAATCCAAACCCAGATAATGTGACTACTGTGACAAGGGGGGCAACATCACCCCCTGTTGTGCTCGAAAATGTGGTTAGGCAAACTAATGTATCCCAAGAATTCGCAAACGCCACTAGAGAATATCCATAGGGTATGCCGCCGAATTGGCGAACTACTCAACCTGTACTTATCGAAATGCCAGTACCCTATTTGGGACCAAATTCACAAATGCATGTATCCCCACAGGGATATAATCCCGGACCAAATGGATTGGGATTTGTTATGCAAGATCCGTATCAACATATAGGAACAAGTCATGAGGGATCTCTGGTTCGACAGAGTAGTTATGTCCCCACAGGTATTAGTAATCAAGCCATGATAGGCCTTCGATAATAGATGAACCATAGTAATCATGACATGGTTAATTTGTTGTCAACTCAGATGCATAATATAATGACCCCATTGTATGAGTTAATAAATAAAATAGGAGATAAAATGGGAGATAGTCCACCTTCGAGAGCCATGAGTGAAAACTTGAACGATATGGAAAATCAAGGTGGGAATGTAGTTTTTCCTCAAAACCTAGGTCAACCTCGTAGGAACCTTGATGAAAATCTAGATCAAATTGTAGAAAGGGTACTAAACAGGCATGGTTTCGAGGTAGGTCGAAATGAACGTCCTTATTTTGTATCTGCTTTTCCAGAATATGTGACTCAGGTAGAATTGCCTAGGGGGCAAAAGTCCCGAAATTTTTGAAATTTGCGGGAGAACTTAATGAATCTATTGTCGAAAATATAGCTAGGTATTTAGTCGAATGTGGGGATTTAGCGAACAATGAATATTTAAAAATGAAGTATTTTTCGAGTTCGCTGACTAAACATGTTTTTACATGGTTCACAACATTGCCTCCAAATTCGATAAACACTTGGGCTCAATTCGAAATCCTAAACCAATACACCCCCCTTAATATTTTCTCTTCGATATGAAACTTCCCGCACTACTTTCACAATTCCACATTCAATAAAATAAATAAGTAAATAAATTTTTAAATGCTCTATTTTTATCCTCTATGTCCTTTTAGTATAAATATAATCGCAACAAGAATTAAATTTATATCTCCATATTTTTAATTACCTCAACTATTTCCCATCTAACTATTAAATTAACTCTAAATAATCTATTATATCCAAAAATGAAGTATTAAAAAATTAGAAAAATTGATTTTCAAAAATTTTAAAGCAACTAAAATCATATATTTTTAAAAAAATTACTGGCCAATGATTTCAAATTTCATTTATCTTTATCTGTAAATGAGAAAAATAAGATACTCTTGTTGTTTTAAAAAATAAATGATAAAAAAATAAGAGTATTTTGAAAGATTGCATATATTAAATCCATAAACTTAAAAAAAAAAAAAAAAAAAGTCTTCGATTGATCGTAAAATAATAGATAATTATGTGTATTAGTTAAGAGATAAAAAGATTATAAAAAAAAATTGTCATACCAAAACATAGGATCCTTTATTTATTGTTATAAATTGTAAATAATTAGTTATTATAAATGATAAATCAATTAAGTGTTTTTTTCTCTAAACTTTTATATTTACGATATTGGTTAATATTGAAATTTTAGATTTATGATATTAGTCTTTATAAATAAATAAAAAATGCTCATGTTGTATTAGCTTTATGAAATTAGTTTCATCAACTATAGCTATTGTGGTGGAGTTGTTGATAAGTGTAAGGGTGAATTTGTCCGATCCTTCGGTAGAAGAAAAGCTTTATGATCTGGTTTGGAGGCAAAACTATGGGTCATTATTCATGGGATGATAATGGCATGTGGCTTATCCATTAAAAATCTTATTGTGGGATATGATTGTTTGGAGGGGATTAAACTTGTTACAAATGGTTGTTTAGAGGATATTTGTTAAATCAAACGACTATTTTTCATGCTTCATGTTATTTGTTTTATTAAAAAAAATTGTGACATTTTTATTAAATAAATATTTTTCAGATCATAAGTGAATTGATTATGATGATATGTAATATTTTAGATGAATCATTTCATCTGTATAAAACAAAGTCATTTAATATATCATTTATGATGTTTGATAAGCAAATTATTTTTGTCTATGTTGTTCCTTAACAAATTAAAAAAAATAAAAGTTTCTTTGATACTTAAACTTCAAAAAAGAACGAACACATATTTTTGGTTAAAGAAAGAATAAGGAAATTCCTTAATGTTCGCAATTAATGCACCAACAAAAATTTTTCTCTACAAATAAGGAAAACGAAGATAGATGAAGTAGTCCCTGTGAGAGAAGTTCAAGGACTTGCAAGAGTCATCTTCATCAAACTCCTATATAAGAAGCTTGAAGACTTATAATGAAAAAAAGGAGATAGTATTTGTAAAAAAACTTCATTCATTCTTTCTATAAAATCTTGTACTTAATTTGGTTGTATCACATCTTGAAAACAAGATGAAATAATAAGCCATTTATAACTTTAACTTTATGTTATTGCTTAAAGCCTAAGATAATTTGTTGTAAAGAATACTTGGATGTTGGAGCTTAGAGAGGCTTTGTTGTTCAAATAATACTTAGATAATTGTTGGAAGAGACAAGTCAAAGAATATTTAGTGATGAGATTCCACATGGAAATCTCATGAACACTTCCTTAGCTTCTCAGAATCCTTGGAAGAACTTCACGGATCAAGACTCCAAAGAAGCTTCAATGTGACCTAGGCTTGCGTCTAGCCAAGTCCGGAGAAGAATAAGAGGTCCTAACTCTACAAGGAGAAGCTCTCAAGTAGGGTAGAGTTTAGGAGAATGGTGACTTCGGAGAAGGAGAATTCTAAGAGTGAAAATCTCATTCAATAATCCAAAGTAAGTACAAGTTCCGGTCATAAGGATTATATAGGGAAAAATTAGGTCAAGGTAACCATGGGTTAGCCTAAGGTTAAGTGAAACCATGGTAGGGTTCACTTAACCTTAGGCGCCCAAAATTTGAATTCAAAATTCAAATTTTGGAGCCTAAACCCAGATCACCCATGTGCAATGCATTTGGAATGTCATTAGGCTTCCATTTGAGTTGCATTTCGGATCACACCATGTGCATGTGTTGCACATGGCCGAAATGCACACCAAATGTGAATCTAATTACATTCTAATGCAACTACACATGTAACCTAAATAACCCTAAATTCAAATGACCTTCAAATGAAATCCTAAGCTAAATGGTCGTGAATACAAGGCCTAAAAATTACAAGGCTCTAAGGCCCAACCCTACACTACAAAATATAAGAACAAAAAGATAGGACCATGTACAACTCCACTTTGGACCATCCAAGCCCATTGGGCCTATTGGGCCTTGACTGACCCAAGTCTTCAAGTCTAGCCAACTCCTCTTGGCTCTTTTGGGATGTCTCCTCTTGCCTTCTTAATCATGATTTCATCATCCCCTCCCTCTTGAAAAGGATTTGTCCTCAAATCTCGAGGATGCATGGAAAAAGGAGTAGTACCTACAATCACAACAGGCCATGTATATAATTGAAAATGTTCAAGATAAGAAAATGGGTGAAATATCCTAAGAGGAATCTCGCTAGCTATTCCAATAAAGAAAAATAAACTATCAAATTGAGACTCCCTAAAATTAGAAATAGGATCCTTTTCCAAACATAACCTAGAATGAAATCCTAAAAATGTATTGACACTATGACTAAGACAATGAAAAGAATGATTCTTAAAAACTACAATATCTTGCCTAAAGTACCCTAAATGGTAGCCTAGGCTTTCCCTAAAATAGAAAGAAAAAATAACTAGAAAACGCCCGAAACAATTTTGGATTTGATAATCATATAAGCTACATTTGGTTTGTAGGGAAGGAATCAAATTAAGTTCAAAAGAGTAAGAACTTCCCATAAAAGCAGACATAGAATATAGATTATTACAAATTGGATTCATCCAACAAGGTAATCCAAAGATTGGGTGCTTTAAGTCCAAAGAAATACTTGCTTCTTTGTGCACCTTCAAAGAAGTAGTATAAGGAGTAAAACTAGAATTAGTTGACTCCTTCTTCACAATATCTTGAAGTTGAAGATACTTTGTTTGAAAATTGTGTGGTTCTTCATCTTCAAGATAAGTGGCAGCAAGATGATAAGAGGTAAGACTTTTATGAATAAGAAGAGTACTTTTCAATGCATGTTTGATGGGTAAACAACTCTCCTTGGTCACAAAGTCTTTAGAGAAAACCCTCTTTTCCTCTCTCT